CGTTTAAAAGAGTCAATTATTCGTTGACATAAACCATTTCCTTGTTTTGTTGTCGTCGCAATAGCAACTTCACTGTGAGTATCATCTTCTTCAGTACTATGGTACTCATTATATGAAATACTTGATGCTTTATCTGTCATTCCTGTTTGTGATTAAAACTATTGTGACAGAATGATAACGAGATGTCTGTACGAAAACTTTTCAAGAATTTAATCGCAAGTCGGTAATTCTAGTAATTAACAATATCTATAACGAAAATACTATTTACTAAAAGTATAACAACAAGATTAAAGAGCATTTGTATACTTATCTACCTCTCATAATACTGTTGTATTTATGACAATACACAAAACAAAACCTATATGCCTCTGACATGTGTTTTTCTTAGTCATCAATCGTCATGAAATTATAATTGATTTTACTCTCAGGTTATTTTGTGAATAGGACATCTTTTTAAATGTATTACTCCTATTTTTATCTCTTACCTATGTGAATATTCAGACGTCTCTACCTATTAAATATAATAATATACTATTTCACCCTCTTTTTATATTAATGTTATTTTTCAATGCATATTGCATTAACATGTGATAGAGTTGAATACATTTGTTTTTACATGATAATACACTGTCTTTTTTTTCTTTCTTCCTTTTTCTCTGACTACCGAAGCGAAACTATCTAATTTTTTCGTTGTGAAAGGTACAAGGAGTAAATATAGTTGTATTTCTTCCCTTTTTTCCTTGTAAAAAATTAGTAAGTTCTCGTTAAATTTAGCATTAACATTACTTTGTCAAAACACTGTAAAGAACGTTTCTTATTTCAAAATCTGATATATCGTAACTGAAATGAAAAACTAACATAGAAACATTTGTATATATACAAATAAATATCAGAAATCTATAAGATTATATTTTATTACGTACTCCTCCGAGTACTCCGAATCCTATAAAGAAAAAGATATTGGACACATCGGTTAGTTCGATATTATATCTTGAGGGTGTGGGTGTGATGGGTGTCTGTCATCTCATAACTCACTCACATCCTCAAGATTTTGATCCCGTACTCTAATTAAATAGTTATGAAAATTATTATTGATTGAATAAAAGTTTTTAATATGACATGAAGATTTTTTTTATTGATAATATTTCGTTAGCGAGAAAATAGATAAATAACACAAGTTTTATTATTGTTTCAAAAGAAAATCTTTACTGAATAGAATAAAATGTATTGTAAATAAAGTTGACATCATATCGATAATAATATAATAATAAATAATAGAAATACATTTGTAAGTCGATTTAATTTATTTAATATTGAATAAAGAATTAAAATTAAATTAATAATTAATTCAGTTAAGAATGAAAGATAAGCAATCTAATAAATATATATTTATAGAATTTGAAAACTGAATATATATCTAAAGTTACTTGATATTCAATTGTTTTAATAAAAGTGTAAATAAATGTAAATGATTTAAAATTCATTTTTATAAATTTTCTTAAAACAATTTTTTGATTTTTTATTTGATAAACTTTCAATTTGTTCAATTGTGATTTGTTGTTATTATTTTGATATTATTTTCAAGTATTTCAATTTGAACATCATTATAAATTTTTTTTTCATTCGAATTTAATATTATTTTATCAAATAGTAAATTAAAATATATTTATTTTCCAAATTGATAGATCTTTAGAATATACTAGCGGAGGTACCCGCTGCAAAATATTAAAAATTCAAGCACTTTCCGTAATAAATTTCTTGTATTTTGTTTAGGTTAATCTTATCATCAAAATATTTTCCTCAAATTTTATTCAAGTCTAAAATTAGAGACAATGAATTATCCACATTAAACTTCTACACGTGAAAAAAGACTTCTCAAGAAACTATAACAACTTTCATTTGTGATCAATTATTCATAAACTAAATGAAGTTTATCTGTCAAAAAAGACTTTTTTATTCGAAATCAAATGATTTTATTTTTTATTTTGATGAATTATATTATTTCACAATTGAGTTATTTTGAAAAATAAAACAATTCTCATTTTATTCAATACATAGTTCATATTTTAGAGTTCGATGTTTATAAGTATCAACAACATAAAGATTTGCTTCAACATCAAATGATACATCTTCAGGGAAATATAACTGATTTGGTTCTTCTCCTTGAACACTTCCACCAAAAACAACTGAACCTTTTGAATCTCCTTCTTTCCATCGTCTCTCTTCATTCTTTTTATATTCAGAAACATAGATAAATCAATTTTTGCCCATTGCTACACCATAACAGTCAATACTAGAAATAAGAATTTGTGGATTTGTTTGATTTTGACGAACCCATCGTATCATTCATCTTTTCCAACGATCACACATGATGATCGCATTCTTCTGTTTGTCAATAGCTACGTCGAATGGCAAATACAATTGATTAAGTAAATATCCATTTCCGCCTGCAATGATGTGACTATTATTCGAATTATATTTCCATTCAAGAATACGATCATTTACAGTATCAGCAATCAAAATGTTTTTGTTATCATCAATATCGATCTCATGAGGGTCATAGAGTTGATTTAATCGATTTCCACTTCTATTTCTTGAGGATGTGGGTGAGAGTGTGTCTGATGGTTAAGTCAATGCACCTCCAACTACACTCCCAACTACACCCACACACACCGACACCCACAGCCTCAGTAAACTCATTTTATATTTATTATTCTGTTTTAAACGAAAAAAGTATTACAAAAAATTCAAAATAAAGAATCACATAAAGAAACAACGATCTTTGAACGATTTATTAGTAGTGCAGTTGCTGGTTTTATTTCTCAAACTGTTATTTATCCACTAGATGTAATTATTATTTCTGTTTGTTTCTATAACTATATTTCTGCTGAATTCAGGTTTTAAAAGTTCGTTTATGTTTACGACGAACAGGAGAATTTTCTCATTGATCAGACGCTGTTAAGCGTATATATAAAGTTGAAGGTCCAAAAGCTTTTTGGCGCGGTTATGTGCTCAATCAAATTGGTATTGTTCCTTATGCTGGATTTGATTTAGCATGTCACGAAGTAAATAAATCAATATAATTTCTTTGAAATCATTTTTTTTAATATTTTTCTGATAAATTTAGACTCTTAAACGTCTTTATATTACTAAACATAATAATCAAGAACCACCAATTTATGTAGTTCTTGGTTG